CCTGTACTTCTCAAAAAAATTGCCCAGGAAAAAAAAAATTGTTCAGTTTAAAAAGAAAAAAACATCTCACACTTTGCTACCTTCTTCACATACATCATGTACACACCACTGTGACTGTTCCACAGGCACCCCCCTGCCCTCGCCAGGGAGTAAAACCTTAAGATTTTATGTTATCAATTCTTGAAGATATAAAAGGCATTTAGAAAATATTAAATTATTAATTTCCAAAGTGATTCAAGGACTGCTCCACTGATATCACCATATCCATTTTAATTGGTTCCAAGTAATTCTTTGAGCCCCTAGCAAATTCTTACTGGCCATTCCTTACTTTCCTCAGATGTACTGAGGTTTTATTATAAATGCTGAGTAGTAAGGCTGTGTCTTTATTCCTCTTTATCTCACCTTACTGTTTTCCCCCTCCCTCCACCCTTCTGACATTGTTTATACAATGTAGGCAGTTCAATCAATCTATGTAAAATTGAATTAAATTACTGACCTTCACTAATTATGATTTTCATAAAAATCTGACATTCATTGAGAATATTTTATACAGGTGTATATCACTTTATAGGATAGGTTGATTCCTGACAGTCGGTCTAATTTCTATAAACCAAATCATACTTTTATCCCTAGGGGAAAAAAACTGGTCCAGATTCACACTTGTGAATGTTATAAATTTTTAAAAATCATACATTTAAAAAGGAAAACAACTAAGAAATAATGGTAAAAATTATTTCAAAATTAAACAAGTACCATACCATAAAACATGTTCTCTTTGACCTACATCAAAGAAGTAGAAGACACGCCCTTGGTATTGTCTGCCTCTTGAAAATGGGAATTTCCTACATTTTCTCTATGCTAGTATAGTGAAACCCCTTGCCTATGTGATCAGATGTAGGTTTCCTCTATTTTAAATCTCCTCTCTTCACATACCTGTAAAATTGCTAGCAAAGTTATGAAAGTTCTTAATGCAGAGGCCCATATATAACACAATTAATGGTGCTTAACAATGCAATTTTGCAATAGAGTTCAAATATTCATTTGTCCATTCATTTTTTCCATTCACCCATTCATTCTTCAAATATTGGTAAGTGCCAACTACGCACCCCATAGTATTGTAGATGCTGGGAATACAGTGAGGAACAAAATATAAAAAATCCCTGCCCTCATGGAGCTTACATTCTAGTTCCTCAAAAGGGATCTCCAGCTAAAATGTAAGTACTCAAAATCCAAGAGGAAGGCTTTCTGAAAAGCTCCATTAGTCAGATATCTCAAAGGAGCAAAGGCTACAATAAGTACTACATTTGTAAAATGTTTTATTTTTATTAAAAATAACGTCCTGTTAAGTTTATTAATTTCCTTCAATTTTAATTTATATTTTAAATTTCTAATTTTCCTCAATTTACACTTCCTAGCTATTTCTGATAAATTCTACAAGCTCCTTGAAGAAAGTAAAAGAGAGACCATCCTTTTAAATTTCCAACCTAATTGACAATCAACAGGTGCCAATCAAGTGATGGTCTTCAAAAAAGCAATTCTTTGTTATAAAACAATGGGCCTCACAATTACAGGACTGCTGTAATTTGCCACTGCTGCCTCTGCATGACTTAGCCAACTGACTGGGGTTTTGACTGAGATGCCAGTACTTAAAATAATTTGTTAGTTGTCTTAACTTCTTTGTTACTGCCCCATTAACTGAACTTATGCTTCTTAATCAGCATTACTAGGTGGTAAAGACTACTGTTAGAAACTGCAGACTTTCCCCATGGCAGAGATTACAGCTAATTTTTACCTGGCATTGCTGTCAGTGCAGTTACTGCTAATGTGCTCTGGACCCTTCTTTCACCAAGCTCTTAACTCCTGCTCTGCCCTTGCTTTCCCTAACCAAAATCCTTGAATTATTCTAAGTTTAATATGGCCAGGCCACATCTGTTGCCAAGGTGAGTGGTCCTTCATCTTTTCTTGGGCTTCTTCTCCCTTTTCATGTCACAGCCAATGGTAATGTTTTCCACTTTCACCGCAGGACTCTTTCCACCCTTTCACTGACAGGACACCACAGGAAATCAGGAAATTTGTAGATATGCCACAGAGTGATAAAGGATGCCAAGCTAGGAATTAGGATACCAACTTTGCTCTGCACAGAAGGATACAGAAAGATCTAGGTGTATTAAGGGAAATATCACTCTGTGTATGATTTCTGCATTTTCATTTCTATATTCATCTCTCTGTATCCACTCCACAATATTTATTGACTGCTTATTAGGTTCCAGGGACTGTTTGTTATACAGTTGGTTTCTTTTAATGAGAACACACTAACACTGCTTCAAAGCAGGAGTGGTAAATCTCTGACCTACAGGTCATATTCAGTCTTCAGCTTAATTTTGTGTGGCCCAGAGAGAAGCTATTAAGAAATGAAATCACAGCAGGCCTTTTGCAGTCTTTACAAGCAATAAGATAGAGCCATAATTCCATGAAGAGAGGAGGCTTGTATCTTTCTCCTTTACTGCTGTGTATACCTCTCACTGTCTCTATCTCTTTGCTTTAGTTTTCTATTCATTCTGCCTCATTCCCTTAACTGGTCATAATAGGGCAATGGGATATATGTTACTTCCTATATTTACTGAATTACATTACCATTTTCAATTTAAAGGGCAGACCAACTGAACATTTCATACTTTTATCCTGGAATAAATAAGCCTTTTTGTTTGGCTGGGGGGTGGGGTGAGGGATGGGGTGGAAATAGGTCTATAGTCTTTGAAATTTCTTTCAGAGATTGTCCACTCATCAACTCAGTAAACTGAAATTCCATCTTGGCAAGTATAAAAATTGCATTAAAAATAAAACAATAATAAACATTGTACTTTAAGAATCTACACCAAAAAAAGAAATACAATCAAAGTTAAGGCAGAAGTGTAAAAGGTAAATAAATATTTCATGGAGAAAGTAAATAAAAATCTATCCAAATAATTATTTCAACAAAAATAGAATAGAAATAAACGCATTCAAAGGAAGAGTTAACATTTATCATTTTTATACACTGAAAATAAAAATTCTCCACTCCTAAGAACCGTTTTCACGCAGATTTTATCACAAAATTACTTTATATTTTCCAATTTACAATTCTCTCTTCAGTAGTTGCTATGAACTATAAATTATTCACTTGATTTCCCAGAAATTAAATATGTTCCTAAAAACTCTATATAATCCCCATTACATAGGCATACTATAGTATCTTTTCTTCAGCACACACAAAAAACTATAATAATTATAACTTATTCTTTATTTGTTATCTTTCTACAGAAATTATCAGGATTAGCCTTACCAGGAAATTATACACATTATAAATACAAGTTTTAATAGACTACTGATCATCAGACTGTTACGTTATATTTCTAGAACATGATATCACAAGTTAAAGTCATTAATTCCAAAACAATAGTTTATTAACAAAAAAGTACAAAGAAGTACAAATGGACATCCTATTTTCCCCCATTCTGGTCCATCTATCTATCTCCCTTTCAGTCCATGGCATGGCCTTCTTCAACTAAAAGACTGGGTAAAATACCTCTCCTCTTTCCATTGGGCCCTAATAAATACATAATGATTTGTTTGGGGATGGTTTAAGTTATACAGTCCATGTCAATTTTTAAAAAATGTTTTATCTATATGAATTGCCATAAAAGCCTCTTCCCTTGCAATACACCATGTACCTAAACTGAATGAAACATATGAACAACAACATTCATAAATCATGATTAGACATAGGGAAAATCATATCACTAGTATGTTTGCCTTCAAGTAACATTTTACAAATGAAAGCTTAGAGGTGTCAAAAAGGATTTTCATAGATATTTACTAGAACACTTCAAGTCAAAAACATCTTGTTAACTGAACTAAATTGAGGTACCTGGAAAACATTCGGCTTAGTTGTGTTTTCTGCACTGATTTTAAAGCAAAGCTACTTACATATCTAATCTTACTCATCTTACTGCTATTAATTTCAATTTTCTCCAAGAATGGTACAATTTATTTCAATAAACCTACAGTTAATTCCATACTTCTCTTTCTACAAGCCCAAAGTACTTCTCTAAATCATGTTAAAGTCCCAATACTTTGTGATTTCTCTCACAGGGCTCCTTAAAATACCAATGCAAGATGGGGAGATTTAGTAAACTGCCACATTCAGTAAATAATACACAATTTGCTCTCTCTGCTATGGCTCATCAAGACAGAACATATGAATTAATTTACTGATGTTCCTAAAAGCCTTGTTTATAATTTATTAGATTATACAGGGTTTTTTTTGAGTAGTAAGCTCCAGGCTTTTGGTTTGTGGAGGGAGCCAGATCAGAGCTTACCACAATACTTTACTCCCTGCTTAGAACTATTCTCATAAAGAACATGAGCTCAGTGTTGGACTAGGCTGTAATAACATAAGGTGCTATAGCAGTGACACATTTTTTGGGAGCTGGAAAATTCAGATGACCACTCACTAAACATAAAATCATTATTCCACAAAGATTTTATTCACATCGAACTTGCACAGTAGCAAAAAAAAATCAAAACATAACTAAGCCACATATCAAAGAACAATATACAATAGAGATTTGAACTTCTCAATGGCATTGGAAAGTATTTCCATAAATAACATTTACAATTCTAGTGTTAGGTCTTTCAAGGTGTCTGAAGCTTCACAGTGCTAGAATTGATTTTTATCAGAACACATGCAAAAATGTGCAACACAATAATCCATATTAATGACACAACAAAGCACGCCAGTTATTTGTCATTCCAGCACGGCCATGCCACTCTATGTTCTAAAAACAAACAAACAACCCCCCAAATCCGGGTCCCATTCATTCTTCAATTATGCCTTTAGTCACTCTGTTTTATTATATTCAAACAGTCACTGTTAGTGCTCTTCACCACGACTTTCAGGTTGACGTCACTCCCTGCCTGCTGGCTGTCAGGACTGGGGGACGCCCCTCTCCCAGACTCACCTTCTTCCGGATGTCTTCATCGTTTGCTCCGAGAGAGGCATAGAGCTTGAATGCAGCCTGGCGAAGTTCGTGAGCATGCTTTAAGTCATGATCAAGCTATGGGAGGGAAAAAACGATACGTTCCAACCCAGTCCACAAATTAAATTTTCGATAAAACTAATAAAGTAGAGTTGAAGAAAAAATATGTTTTAACAACTATTAACGTATCAGTGCTGGTTATTTTGGGTTTCTGCTCACATATGACTGAGACCTTGCTGTGTCTGTGTCAACATGACCTGGAATTCTTGCAGTCTGCTTCTGTCTAAAATGTGACACTGGTATATGAAAAATCTTTGTGAACCTTTGAGCCTTAAAAATTCAGTGTTTCTAGATGGTAGCTTTAGTGGCACTGGTGCTTGCTAGCACCAGCTCTTTTTTTTTTTTGGCTGTGCCACGCGGCACACGAGATCTTAGCTTCCCAGCCAGGGATCGAACCCGTGTCCCCTGCAGTGGAAGCACAGAGTCCCTGGACCACCAGGGAATTTCCCACCAACTCTTTGAAATGCTCTCAAAAAACACGGCACAAGAACTTCCCTGGTGGTCCAGTGGCTAAGATTCCACACTCCCAATGCAGGGGCCCTGGGTTCGATCCCTGGTCAGGGCACATGCTGCAACTAATTAATTAATTAAATTAAAACAAAACAAAACAAAAAAAATGGCACACTCAGGCCTTTCTAACCCCGGAATACAGCTGATACCTTGAGTGCTGCTGCAACAGTATCTTTAGAAGGTTTTCCTAAACTTTAATAGTGCTAACCAAATTTCAGTATTTAAAAAGCTTTTAGAAGCAGGAAAACCTTTGTAAAAATGCTTAATAAACAACAGACCGTGGTAACCATTACTACCTATTACAGCTATCTGAGAATTATGTTCAGGGGGCTTTTTTGGGATAAATTTATTAAAATTACTTACTGGTATGAAACAATTAATGCTATCTTTTCATATGCATAACTGGCTTTCTCAGTTATCAATTCTTCCATATACCTGATTTATCACCAAACTACCATAAAAATAAAAGAGAACCGTGTTCTCAGGACACTTTCAGTGACTAAATATGAACCAGTAAATATATAAGGCATATCAGTAAAGTAAATAATTTTATAACTAAGAGATATAACTTATCCAAATGATTACAACTTTTTCCAAATGAGTTGCCTTGGAAAGGTTCACCCTTATGCAAAGATATAGGTGGTGTTCACAATATTCTGAGACCCTCTTTTGAACATTCCTAAAGAACTGAATGGCACACTAGCAAGAAAACCCTGACAATAATAACATATTTTCATCGACTAAGAGAGTTTTAAGTTAACTGTCACTGGTGTGTGAAGTGGGGGAAATCCAACTGGGTAACATCATTTAGAGTAACAACAACAACAACAAAAACTCCACAGTAAAAAACTAAAACTCAGTTGGGTTCTGAAGGCAATTATTAAGAGTAGCTCCCCAAATATTTTGATCAAAGCAGGTACTGATGGTTTATGGGAGGAACCTCCCAATATATGACACTCATTTTGATGTGTAAGTTCTAAAATATCTATTCTTATGTCTTAACTACTTTCCAGTCATAACATTTATTAGAATATTGACTTGGACTAAAATACAATGAAAATCAGACATTTATTAACATGTAAAAAAGTCTCTCTTATGGGTCTAGTACCTATACTTGTATGTCAGAAACCACTGGATAATCCATCATCAAAAATAAAGATGACAAAACAAACTAATATTCAAGTTTAGGAGATTTAAAAAAAAGTTATTATTATTCCAGTTTTACTGTGATGGAAATAAAATGGAAAAACCCTAAGAAAAGGGATAATCTTCTATATACTAGTTAAATGTTTTGCACATGTGTAAGCTAGACGTTCTTGTAACTATGTTTCCTCACTCTCATGTCCATCAAAGTGTTCTATTTGCCTTGCTGCCATGGTCAGCTAAGGGTGTTCAGGAGGCTGTAGTTAGGACTTGCTCATATGTCTTTGTACTTTGAGTTACTGTGTCAGTGAGCAAGTAGCCAGAGGGAAAACAGACAAGGCAGCTGCTTCAATATAACCTATCACTTCTACTAGAAAAACAATACTGCTGAAGGAAGAGCAGGCACATAACTTTAATACATAAAGGGCAGTGTACATTAATACAAATATCAATGGAAGTTATTTTAGGCCCTTTCTGAGGTAGAGAAAAGTTATACCCTCAATAGTTTGTTTTATTTTCAGTGTTAAATGCCAAATGAACAGTTGCCTACTGGATGAAGTTTTTTGGAATTCAGGGGCATGGGAGAGGTCAAGAGAATAGTTTTAAAAAAATTTACCATTGGGACCAGTGGCATCAAAAATACAGTCACATTTGTGAAACAGTACTGGTTACTATTTAGGAGGCAATGCTCTCTACACCATGACCTCCTTAAATAAACTTTCTCTAACAGAATATTTATCTCTCATGCTTAGAGAAGTGGATATGACAAACACGTTGAGAAAAACAAAGCCAAAAAGAATATCTACCTATTCTGAGGAACTTATAGTTTGAGAAAAAGTTAGCACAATTTGGTCCTTGATGGTCTCAAACTAGAGGTTAGATGGTGCTTTAGCTGTCACTAGCAGGCCCAAAGCACAGTTTGAAACTGCAGAAAAGAAAGAAGAGATGGCAAAAATTAGAAGAAAAGGTAGCAAAAGAAAAAGACAGTGGCGGAGAGTAAAATAAAGCCACTCAGTCGCCTGGAACAAAAGATTACCCTTGTCCTAAAGAATGAGAATATAGTGACAAAGCTGATTCTGGGACTTTCAATAGCATTAGATGATGTTGATATAATGTCAATAACCAGCTTAGAGACCCCACTATTTTGGGGTTAGCTGGGAATTTGGGATGCAATTTTCTGATTATCTCCTTATTAAAAAAACTTCTGACAATAAACATGAAACAAACTGGATTCAAAACTCATAAAGTGACATCATCTACGTTACTAAAAGATTTCTTTATTTAAAAGGGCTCTGAACTATTAATTATCAATTGGTTCAAAAGTAGTGAACAGTAAGAAAATCTTTTTAAAAATTCCTCTCTTGAGCTGCTGAAAAGGAAAAGAGAACATACCCTTTTAATATCAGTGATGGCACTCACAGAGCTGGGATACTTGAAATAATCAGCAAGCATGGCAATGAGGTGATCAGTAATGCTAGCAATTCTCTGTAGCTCAACATCTGGTTCAATCAGATAGGCGAGTGTCTCAGCTCCTTCAACTCTCTCCTCTAGTAACCTCTCCTTACTGCACATTCGAACCAAACAAGGCAATGTCTGGAAGGTAGTGATATTAATTATTTGCTTTTTGGTAAATGCAAAAGCATGATGGAGATCATATAGTAACTATATCAACCCCACAGTTTTTACTGGGAGTCATGTTTGTGATCAAATGTTTCAATAAAGACTTTCAGAGAATAAAAGTTTTTTTTGGAATGTAAAAACACACAAAATTCAGTGCATATTAATCATTTACACTGGCACACTAAACTAAACATATATTCAAAGCACATTAATATAAAGTCTAATTAGGCTCTTGTGATCGGTAAGACTGAAGCTTTATTGTACAACCTTACAAAAGACATTTAAGAATCCCTAATAAATCATTTCTGATGCTCCTGCCCTGTCTACGTATTTATTTACCTAAAATACATCCAGCAGTTTAATTAGGAACGATTTTGCCTTAGAAAAAGTATGCTATCTTTTCCTTAATGTGTGTGATATAGCTGGGATGACCTTCAATTTTTGTTTAGAGTTTAATACTTACAGTTGCAAAAACAAAATACAGCTTTAAAAACTCAGTGATCTTCCCATTAGTCAGATTCTACCAGTTCTCCTGTAATCCAAGTGGAATGTATCAATCACAGTTCCTGAGTTCTCCAGAGAACTCCCTGGAATGACTGTGATATCTACTAGTCCAATTTTACTTCTGAGGTCCTTCAAAAACCTTGGCACTGGTCTTGGTAATTTCTCTACATTAGGTTCTCAATAAAAATATCCCATGTTTATATTTCTAAGGCTGATGAATCAACTTTAAAGGATAATGTGGAAATAGAAACTGAAACATCAGAATTACAGGAAGACTTCCTCTACAACCGCAGGCAACTATGCTTTGTTCTTTTCTAAGTTCCTATTATAGCTTGACCACAGAGTTCAGCACTTTATTGTTCACTGCTGATTTCTTATCAGGCTGGTTCCATCTTTTAAATATGACCCTAGGCTTCCAAGAAGAAAGCCTATTCTTATTTTCCTTGGAACAGTTACCAACATTTATCAATACCATAAACTCATGGATTATTGAATTTAATGCTCACAACTACTACACAAAGAAGATACTTATCAACCTAGTTTACCAATGAGAAAGAAAAGGAGGGGGAGAGCAGTTAAGTAAGGGTATGGAAGCCCTCTATGCAGTGCTATTTACTTAGGGGGTCCTCAGATCTCATTAAACTATCTTGCTTCACCAAAGACTAAAGGAAACATTAATCTTCTTAATGTTCTTTTAACCTTGGCTTCATTTTGAACACTGATAATGAGATCTCACATTCATAAAGTGACACACTATCAATTTACTTACAGTTGTTCTGTTCTTTATAACTAAAAGCTGCTTAATGTATTTAATACATTGTTATTCTCAATATCCCTTTGGGATAGATGAACAGGAATTATTGCTTCCATTTTCATAATTAGGGGTCTGAGGCACCACAAGAATAAGGGATGTGCCCAAGGCTACCGACCCAGTCAGTGGTGGAAGTGTTAAAACCAGAATCCAGGTCTTAGGACTTTTAAGGGCTAGTCTTTTATCTGGGCTTTTCTGAGTTCTAGTTGCATCTGACACACCACAATAATGATGATTGCTTTCATGTGTTATTTACTTATTCTTTCTCATTATGCCTTTTGATTATCTGCCATGTGGGTGAAATAAAGTCTTTATCTATAGAGTTAGTGAACTGCTTGCCTACAAAACTGTGTTGCAAACTTAATGAAAATCAAGGACTAAAATATATTTTCTATTTAACCTGAATTTTATACATTTTTATAATTTTTACATCCTTCTAATTGCCATAAAAGTGAAAAAGGTTTGACAAGGAAAGATTTACTTTGACTTTCAAAACATATCTAAAACTACATGTCATCCCACTGAAAAGCATGGTGTTTTAATATTATTTCATGCTGTGCACGCATACCATAGTGATAAATGTGTAAAAATAAATAGGAATACAAATATTTATATTCAACACTTATATGCCTGGATAATTTTCACATGTTTTTAGAAAGAATTAATTCACTCACCTTTAATACAATACAGTTGTCATCTGTCCGAATTGCTCCAGCTCTACACATGTAAGTTAAACTGGAATAAGATGGCAGAAAGTAAGTTTTTGCTTGTGTTTTAAAGCTTTAAAAACAACCACCACCACCTACTTGCCTTTAAGATATTATGGGGAAAAAAAAAGACAACTACTCTTACTTATCTTGAGGGAGAAAGTTTTGACACTCCCTTATCTGAGATTCTATTAATTAAATAGTCAAAGAAAACTATGTGATATAGGCAGACAGTAACCCAGAAGTTTTTAAAAATACCTACAAAATTGTTTTAAAAATAAATGGCCGAATGAATGGGTAAACGATAAAGCAAGGTGCTGGGCACACTGGAGTTCTCTATACTTTTCTCTATACTTTTTGTTTGAAACTTTCCATAATAAAAAGGAAAAAATTTTTAAATAAAATATAAAGTTAACAAAGTATCTAAATTTAAATGAAGTTAAGTTGGGATATTTCAACTCCAAGAGCAGTGGTAGAAGTATCACAGAAGCAGCATTTAACTTGTAACACTTATAGCTAACCCTATTAGCTAAGATAGTTAAGATATTAACTAGTTAAGATATTAACTAACTAGTCAGAGGTTACCAGAAGTGGCTTTGAGAATTAATTAGTGATTTGGCTCTACTGAAAAACAATTTACCTTCACAATTATATCTGGCTGTGAATAAGAATACAATTACTTTCTACTCTCTAAGCAAGTACTGAACATCAAGCAATTAAGAAACTTAAATTAATGGATTTCCTTTTTGAATTAGATTCCTTTGGTAAGCTGGAGGGAAAAAAGCCTAAAATACCCCATGTTCTGGCTTCTAGGGAAAGTTATAAACAAGTCAGTAAAACTCCTTACTTACACTGTAGGAGATGAATTCTTTATAGCTGTTATCATTATCTTAAGATTTGTTACTACATTGTTTTTTGAAACCAGTTCCATGAGAGTATTACCTTACTAACAAAAAGGCAAATGCTCAGTTTTGAAGACAAAAAAGCAGACAAACAAAAGATACAAATCATATAAACAAACAGAAAACAATTCATGATGCAGGAGTGATTCACTGAAAACTCCTCATTCTGGCCAAAATATTAGAGAGCCACAGCTTCTTAAATACTGAAACTAAACCATTCACTTAGCACAGAACCCTACATAACAGGTGTTAAACCTATCTGGTAATGTATTGATAATTACAGAATTAACATGTACTGAATGCTTACATGAGCCAGGAACTGTGCTAATAAGAACTTTACATAACTATCTTATAAATGGTCACATCTCTATGAGGAATCTTTGTTTTGTTTTTCCAAAATTGAGGAAGTCACATTCTCTGAAATCATGCCTTGGTTATCAACTTCAACTAATTCTCACTATTTCTATATCATTATGTTTTCCTGCCATAATACTTAGCATAATATGTGTTGGTTAAATCTGATCTAACTCTGTGTTATTTCAACTGAAATACAAGGAGAAGGGAATGTAATGAAGTAATTTTCTGTAGGTAGTCTTAGATGTTGTAAGAGAGTTCTTGTTGTGCATGCTACTAGTAGTAAACTGAGTATAAAACTCACATCCATTTAAGAAGGTATGAGATAATCCCATGACTTTCAAATTTCAAAATCCCAAAACAAGATGGGGATTGAAAGTGAGCTCATTAGGCTGTCCAAAAATACTCTAAATTGATAAAGCACTGTCTTTCTTCCCACATTGTCTTGACCTTTACCATTTTGCTGATGTGAGCTGCATTTCAATGGGCTTATCCCTCTGTAACATCTTCACAAAAATTTGTGGTAACAATTCTCCATCAACCAAAACTAGAAATAAAACAAACAACAAGGATTAAGGAATTCTTTAAATCTACAAAGTTCATAAATTAAATTGTGTAGGTGCCACTGAAAGTTCCAGCCTACCATTTACCAGGGTCATCGATACCTGGGGGTTTTCAAAAGCTAAAACTGAGAAGCATTTCAGTGCCTGCATTCGAACCTGTAAAAATAAATGAACAAAGCATTTATTTTAATTTTGCAAATATGAATTTTAATGTCTCAGAATCTAAACTCTTCTGAAGAAATAACTATTTAAATCTGCCTAAAGTACTAAAGGAAGGACTCAAGGGAATAAAAATAAGACCTGTATATCTGAAGAGTACAGTAAGTTAAAATTATAAAAAGTTAAAATTAATTTTGAAATAATAGAAAAGAAAAAACAGGGAGGAAGTAGCAACTAAAATGGAACTAGATAAATCCCTATTCAAATTTAAAAGAACGCTGTAAAAAATACAATGCTGGTAAGGCAAAGGGAACTTAATAACAATTACTAATTGCCTTTCAAGTGGGACATTTCTTCTTCCCAAATTACAAACCAGAGAACTGAAGAGAAGATCAAAAAAAAAGAGTACTCTTGTAGTTGTGTATGGGATGGGGAGTGGGGGAAGAGAACAGGAGAGGAAAGAAAGTTATGATAAAAGTTTGAAAAGGACTAAACTAATTTAACTTTAGAAATACTTATGAATTATGTTACTATACCTCAAAACTAGGTAACTGGTCTGGGATGATACCAAGGGCTCAAACTCTTGACCACATACAACATATTTTATAATTTGCAGGAGCTCCTATGAGAGCTGTTATTTTTCATTCTTTTTGTTCAGCTTTCACCAGATGACCTCATCCTCACTTCCAAGCCTGAGTCTATATATGATGTTCTCCTGTGGAGCCTGAGATTGGCAGGATAGGTAGCTGAGGTGTGAAGAAGCTCTGTCCCTAACTTGGGCAATGCTCTGCAGCACAAGCACGTGCCTACAGATGGAACCTAGAATATGTTCATGACACTCTGACAGTGGAGCAAACCTTGGCAAGAGTAATGTTACCAAAACCTTTTTCCTTCTACAACCTGTAACTTGCCATAGTAGATAAGGAAGTCTAGTGTGGAAAAGAAAAGAAAGAAATGAAGAACTTAATGAAGCTAGAGGATGGAAAAGAACAAGAACAGTAAATCGCCACCCCAGCAACCGTTTCTTGACATACAAGTGCTGACTGGTCTCAGCCTACACACAGTACAGAGCAGAGGAAGCAGCTCTCAGTATATATGTCCTTCCCTTGCCTCTGGCTAGTTTCAAGCTGGTTCCATTCCCCACTCCTATTCTTGTGAGATCTTCACCAAGATCTAACTTTGGATGTCTGAAGTAGGGAAAATGTACATATTAGCAGGGCAGACCTGCAATAAAGCTAAGGACAAAAAGAGCAGACTACGATCAGTGCAAATGGATAGAAGACAAAAATGACAGCTTCTCTGCTTTACAGGAAATTCCTAGCATATTTAGTTCTAATATGACACAATAAAGACAGTGTCCCAATATGTGCTACAACTTACCAGTTGGACAATAATGAAATGACCAAAGTTTTAACTAAATGCCTGATAGTATATCATGACACTGCTTACCTATATATAAGAGATAGTAAAGAAATTTAATTAACACAACTGAAAACCCTTGACTTTTTAAGTCAAAATACAAAACAGAACACATTTTAAATGTTGATGTATATGTGGGTATATGCTGTAAGTTTCAGTCAGTGTGGCTAAATAAAGGTTTCAAATAGGAAATCCAAGGTCTTTCCTGTTATAGCAAGCCATTGCTCCTACATACTTCAAGGCATAACCTCACTTGCAACTTTGGCACTGACACCATACCAGAAGAGACTACTAATGATCACAGGTAAAAATCAACAGGAACTTATACCACAATCATATCCTGAAGGAAAAAAAAAAAAAAGGAAAGGTAAGGTAGATTTTTTTTTTAAGTGTACTCTCTCTAGAGGTAAAACAATGCCCCATAACATTTTACTGATAAAATACTATTCTTGATCACAATATCTACCAAAGAAACAACAAAACATGTGTGCCTCTTTCCAGACCAAGACTCTAGAAGCCCAAAATAAAGTATAAAAGTCTGGCCATAATTTTTAACATCTTACTTTGTAAGATACTGAGGTTAGTAGGTGAGCAATATTCTGAACTGCACCATGATTAAATAAAATTGTTTGATGATCTGGACCCTGTAAGAAAAGAGAATATAATAATACATTAAGAAGAGTAATGATTCATTCCAATAAAACATTTACTTAAATGGAGAAAACCACATTCACTACAATGTAGAATTTTTAGTTACCCTTCTCCTGTATAAACCCATTCCCAAAAAGCAGGATAGACACTGTTTTCAGTCCTGCAAAGGGCTGTAATATCTTACCTCTCATCTCAGTTCCATAGAACCGCTGCCTCCTTAGCTCCCTAAATAAGGAAGGGGGCACAGAAGCTATCCTGGCATAGGCCCTCACACCATTACAGCAACAAACGCACTCCAAATTCTGCATTTCACGTGCACACCCTTACCCTATGCCCACAGGAGACAGTGTACTCATTCTTACAACTTAAGACTGATGACCTAGTCAGGGGAACTCTAAAACTAATTAATTACAAGAGAAACTGGACCAGATCCTAAGCTACCTCAACACATCTGGGAGGTTGGAGCAGTGGATGGCAGGAAACACAGCACTGCATAACTGAGAAGTAAACATGTTTTAGTTCTCTTTCTCTCTCATTTCTCTTAAAATTATCACTTCTTAGAGTAAGAAAGTGAAGTAACAGGAAAATTCAGGTATTTTATTTTTTACCAACTCTGTTTTCTACTAATCAATTTACTGAAGATCTTCAAAATGGCACAAGCTAAAGATTAATGCAAGGCTTTGAATTTGCCAGTACTTAATTCACTTCTTTTATGTCCCACCAATTCACTCAAATAATGAAAAGTCAATTAAAGCCAAGGCAAGGATGGTAGTTCATGCTTATCATTATTTAGGAGAGAAAAGTGTAGCACCGAAAGGTAGGTTATCTATTTGGGTTCACCAGAGGAAACCAATTCCTAGTCTAGAAAAAAAGCTCTCAAACCAACTTCTCCAACTCACTATTCAGCCAAGTTACAACTGTTTTGCAGATGCTCATTCTTTCTTGGACCAAAATATCCATCATTTGAAGTGGGAAGATTAGCATTCATACTTCCGATTAATAAAAGAGCCATACTCTCTTTTATAGGCAACAATCCCCTAAACATTTTACATACTATTAAGAGCCCTTTAGGGACTTCCCTGATGGTCCAGTGGGTAAGACTCTGCACTCTCAATGCAGGGGGCCCGGGTTCGATCCCTGGTCGGGGAACTAGATCCCACGTGCATGCCAAAACTAAGAGTTCGCATGCAGCAATTAAGAAGTCCTCATAGGGCTTCCCTGGTGGCGCAGTGGTTGAGAGTCTGCCTGCCGATGCAGGGGACGCGGGTTCGTGCCCCGGTCCGGGAAGATCCTACATGCCGCGGAGCGGCTGGGCCCGTGAGCCATGGCCGCTGAGCCTGCGCGTCCGGAGCCTGTGCTCCGCAACAGGAGAGGCCACAACAGTGAGAGGCCCGCGTACCGCAAAAAAAAAAAAAAAAAAAAAAAAAAAAGAAGTCCTCATGCCACAACTAAAGATCCCACCTGCCGCAACTAAGACCCGGCGCAGCCTAAATAAACAAACATTTTTAAAAAGAGCCCTTAAAAAAAAAACACTTCAGCAATTTCTTTCTTAATTTACAAACATTTTAAAAATTGAAGTATAATTGATTCTATACATTTTCTAACTTCTAATTTCTTATTTTTAATCACTATATAATATTCCACAGTTTACTCAAGCAAACCCCCATCACATATTTTTGGTACTTTCTAGTGTCTCACTATTAATTGACTCATTTGAAACATAGGAGTCTCTGGCTTATTCATTATAAGGATAGTGGTGGAGACTACAAAGGGGGAGTCAAGGAAAAGAAGGGTCTCCTCAGAATCTGACCCATTTTTTCTACCTATTAACAAGTAGGTAACTAGAATAAGTTATGAAGATAAGCCTCAATTAACCTTGACTAAGGTTTTTTTGCCTTCCTTATAAATTTTAACATCCCAATTTATATACAGGCAATGTTGAGCAGAACAGCTAAGTAGGCAGGGGGCTGCCTCTACCCCCTTGTACCTCACTGTTCTTCCACTGTATTCAGCCAATCCATTCTCCTGATTTGAGGTGACTAATAGATTATTTTATATTCTTCAAGACAAAGAAGAATACACAAGTACATTCTTTCCCCCTATTTTAACACAAATGGTAGGATAATATTATATATTTATATATATATAATATATAAAATACTACATACAAATACTATATATATACTATACATACATATATAAGTATATATATGCATGGCTCTAAACCTCTTATTTCCTTTATAATGTATCTCAGTGATCACTCATATCAGTACACAAAGAGCTTTCTCATTTCTTTTTTGGCCTTAATCCATTGTACAAATGTCCCATACTTTAACTAGTATCCTATAGTTAGACATTCAGATTGTTTTCAGTCTTGGAGTTATATTTATAAATGATGGTGAAGCACAGTGCAATTCTCTGTACGTAACTGTTTCCCACCGCTTACAAGATATTGTACTTTTTAATCCCTCACATTCTTTGCCCAAATTGCAGCAAATGTTTGTTACAAAAGAAGCTCTTCCTCTTCTCTATGGTCATAGATAGGATTGTGTAAAAACAACTGCAAGGAAGGAATTAGTGGCTGAACCAAGTAAAGAGGAGGAACTATTATTCCATTATCAACTCTCTCTTTAGTCTCTCCAAATCAACCTGCACGAACCTGGAGTTAGTGAAACAGCCTCTCAGTGTGGGAAGCACATAAGCCCTCATGATCCTAAACCCCAAAAGATAGGTCTCGAAATCTGAGTCACTGCTTAAGTGGCAACAATGTAGAAGTTAGAATTCCAATTAATATTATTACTAGCCTTTTTTTGCTCCTTAATAAATCAGGGAGAGAATTTCAAAAATATAACTATGATTAGCTTACAAGACAAATGCTTTAGAAATCTCTTTTTCTGTCTCTCCTGCCCAAAGTATGCAAATTTAATATTGATACTAGTATATGAAAATTTGTAAATGAGTCTTAAAATGCTACTATGAATTTTATTTATTGTTTTCATAAACAAAATGAAAATAAAAGGTTTTTATAATTAATGACATACAGAGATCATCAGACCAGCTGCTTTCAAAGATACATGTTTTTAGTGTGTCAGTAGGAAAATAAATAGTATTTTAGACTATTACTGTTGTCACTGGGTTTATACATGCTATAATGTTTCCTGAGGTCTAGTTATATCTCAGACTACTTAAATTGGGTCATCTAATTACCATGGCAAATGCTAATTATCAGGCTAAAAGAAAGATGAGTTCAGGTTTCTAATTTTCTTCAGTTCTGTTAGTGGCATGAGGGTGCCTGTAAATTCTTATTCAGCATAAGTTTCTCTCCAGCAAAAGAACTAGTGATTTAACAGTATTCCGTTATCTATCTCCAGCAAAAGAACTAGTAATTTAACAGTATTCCATTATCTATGATTTCGGCTAAAACAGCATTGAGAAGTTTCAGATGAGCAAGCCTAAAAGCACTGAGAAGTTCCTGAAGAGCAATTCTAAAAACTATTTGGGTAACTTCAGGGATAGGATTATTCAAACTTCTCATAATTTGACATGTAGTAGTTATACCTCCAGGTCCAATTTTCAGTGTCCATTTGGGATTACTGTGATTATGACTAGTAGATGCTGTGCTCTCAAGCACTTGCATCTAGATGCTGAAAGATTTGTAATGAGGCATATAGTTCTGGAGTATCCTTCTCCACCTATCTACCAGGGTTGGCTGTAAGACATCATTTAATGTTGGAAATTGTTTTCTCAAAGCTTTTCTTTGCCCACCTCAAGAGATTAAGGAATTGACATCCCTGGTCCTATAAGTTGGCTTACATGCTCACAAAGCAATCCAGGAGGAGAAACTTCAGAGACTTTTGACAAAAATCTTAAATTCTAAATGTCTTTATATATAGAATAGGCTATGACAGCTAGGATTTGAGAGGGGTTTTAAGTTATAATCTGTAGTTAGTTATAATCTATAGTTACTTTTTCTGAAAGGAACTGACTTAAGTTATATTTTGGAAACTGTCCTAAAATAGCATAGATCTGTGATCTTCTTAGTTTAGTATGCAGTTGTTCACTTTTCCTTCTTTCCTATAGTTCCCCAAACTCCTCATTTTATATTTGCATTATAAGTGATAAGCAGGTAAGTAATGCTGTCCTGAAAAACTTATCAGAAGAAAAACAATGACTTGGTTAAAAGTTAGCAAATTATGGTTATCAAAAGAGTACACTCAATATGTAAACTATGAAGCAAAATAAGTAGCACTGCATGGCACTCTTCAGTTTAGGTTCAGGCTCTTCTAATAACTGAAATTCCTCTCAACAAAGAGGAGAGAAGAATCTCTCTTAGTTCTCCTTATAAGAGATCACTTAAAACAATTTCCAACAATGTGGAAACTGAGGGTGTGGGAAAACAGTCATGAGCATATACTGCTGGTAGGAGTATAAAATTGTATAACCTCCAATATAAGACAACATGTGGTAAAATTACACATGCACACATTCTTTGACTCAGCAATTCTGTTTCTTATAAAATGTCTTACATACAGGGTATTTGCTGCATCACTGCTGTGAAATAAGATTGGAAACAAGCTAAATGCCCAACAATAGAGGACTGGTTGAATAAATTATTGTACATCTATACAATAAAATACTCTTCATCTGTTTAAAAAAAAAAGAATGAGGAAACTCCTCATGTACTGATGTGGAATATCCTTCAAGATGTTAAGTAAAAAATGCAAGGTGCAGAACAGTATGTATGGTATGCTACCATTTGTGTCAAAAAAAAAAAAGAGGGGAAAATACATAAGTCTGCTTATATGTGTATAGATTAACTACAGGAGGATACACACAGAAGGCACATCTCCTGAGGACATGCAAGATTTTATATTATAGAGAACATTTGTTCTGGTTCTTACTTTACAGCAGTGTGAGAAGATCTGACAGATGTACTCCTGGGTATAGCGGGACCTGCTAAGCAGCGCCATGAGATGCGGTATCACTGTGGCATCCTGGAGTCAAAGGGAAGAAGAGCACAGCAACAAGGAACTCAAACACAGTAAGTATCTCTAACAAATGATTTCCACGAGCAGATACATATGTAAGCCTCTTATCTTAATGACAGTAAATCAAGTCTCTTTAAGGAACACAACACAGAAGCAACACGGCAATCAAAACTGTCTAGGCAAAGGACAAGGAAAGGGGCTTCAATTTTCATCCTTGACAACAAAATACAAGAACAGGAAATTCTCAATTTCTCTCCCATAAACAGCCTACATCCCCACAATAAAACAAAATCATTTCAATAAGACTTGACATAAATCTATTCTGAAACCAAAATGTGACATATTAATAAGATACGTAACAATGCATTGCTTATAAGGAGGAATTACTGTATTAAAATAAAAGTTGACAATTTTGATCTCTGAGATGTTCTGGTAAGTATCAGCAACAGGTTAACACTCATAACAACTGTAGTTAGCTAATTTCAGTCTTCACAATTTATATAATAGCAACTTCTCACTTATAGCCCACTCTGTGCCTACTACTGACACTTCACAACATACACGATGGTACAGGACAAGACAGAAGAATCCACCCAACCTGCTGCAGGGCTCTCCAAAAATCTCCTCTTTCTTGAGTGCAAAAAGAATTAAATGTTGAAATAATATTTGGCTTGAACCACAGATGGTAAAGGAGACTTAGCTCAAGCCTCCTAGTCAATGCTCTCACAAGTCCTGTAGCAATGCTTCTCAAATATGAATGTGCACTGCGTGTATGTTCCCAGGGGACATTCTGTATATACAGATTCTGATTCTCTAGGTTTGCAGCAGGACTTAAGATTCTCCATTCTAACAAGCTCCCAACTGATACCTGATGTTGCTGGTCCACAGACCACCCTTTGACAAAAGACAACAGAGGGCAAGGAAGGAAACTTAAAAGAATACCAGAATACCACTGTTGGGATAAACAAGATTTGGGGTTTCCCTCAGAAAGAAAAGAATGCTCAAGATCCATAAAAGCTAAGTAGGAAAATAGGTTGTTGATGCCTACAAGTAGAATCTTTTCCCCTTGCTTGTTAGTATAACCCTGTGTTGTCATAAGCAGTTTAAAAACAAAATGAAGGAATTCCCTGAAGGTGCAGGGGTTAGGACTCAACGCTTTCACTGCCATAGACCCAGGTTTGATCCCAGGTCAGGGAACTAAGATCCCGCAAGTGGCGTGGCGTGGACAAAAAAAATAAACAACACTCAGAAAATTTCAAAGAAAGTCAGCTACTAAATTCATTTAAAAAAGGGAAGAGATGAGAATGTAAAGTATGCATCTATTTTACAGATGCGGGGTTGGGGTGGCAGGAATAACGATGACAGTGGTTCCATTGACAGATGATAGGGAAGTAGGTAACAGCTGAGAGAGAAGAAGCAATTGAGAGGAAGAGCCTCTATTACGCTCCTAAAACTACTTCCACCTCATTCCTTTCCTCCATTGCTCTCTCACCCCTCAGTTTTCCTGTGACAATAGCCCCTATCTCATTTCTTCACACCTGCGTCCTTTCTGCCAACTGTGTTATATATCTGCAGTTTATGGTTGATTAAACAAGGCAAAGAACAGTTACATAATTTCCCCAGTCACCCATCTGATAAACAGGATTGCAAACTAGACATCCTGCCCTCTTCAACAGGACTGTGCTGCCTTTAGTTTAGTGCCTGAGTTGCCATGGTAGCTGGCCTCTACACAATCCAACTCACAGATGTCAGTCAGTTACACCTAAATACTACTCTCTGTCATTGTCCCACCTAACACTCTTCATGGATTCTCCACTGTCTCTGAGGGATAAAACTGTTTCACAATTTAGGTATTCTCTCTGTGAAAGTCACGTTAATGTCCCTGTGTCTTAATTTTTCTTATGTAAAGAAGTTTGTGTAGACTAGTGTTCTCCAAATTATGCACCACAATCCATTAGTGGGTCATGAAATCAGTTCAGAGAGGGAGGAGGAAGGAGCTAAATCAGTTAACCAGGATCAATTTCTCCCCCATTACTGGGCTGGGGGTTGGGGAGAAACTTATAGGGTAAAGAAGATGGGTGATTGGTTTAATTTCTTTGTAAACATGACAATTGGACTTTCAGGAAAACAGATGGAGAGTCCTTCTATGTGGAATGTTTTGAGGAGGATGTCCCCATTTTAGAAGTGCTTACAGTTAACCAGTGGTTCTCAAAGAGTGGTCCGTGGACCAGTAGCATCTCAAGTTACTGGGAAACTTGTTAGAAATGCATATTCTCAGGCGCTACCCCACACTCACTGAATCAGAAACTCTGTAGGTAGAGTCCAGGGTTCTGTGTTTAATGAGCTCTCCAGGCAATTCTGGTGCATGCTCAAGTTTGAGAACCAGTGTAGTAAACAGTCTTTGGATTTATGAGGCACAGCTCCCTGAAGAATGCTGCACAAATCCCTGAGGTATAAAATTGAGATGTTTCATAATTTAGAGCCTCCCTGCTGTGTGAGGTGACCCACAAACCTCACAGACCTTATGCATCATTACAAGCCAGAGGAGCAAGGGCCTAATGTAGGAAAAACAAACTATGGAGGCACGTGGCATGTTCCCTCTCCCTGCCCCTGCTTTGCCTGTGCCTCTTGACTGCTTATACTCTTGAAATACTTGTAAAACATGATTCTGGACAAGATCTCTGATTCATTATGTGTCCACTTTGAAACTCTGACATTCTGTGTGTCAGCTCAGAGAATCACAACCAGCATTTTTTTTTAATGAAAAAGGATAGAACAGAAATCAGAAGGCACCACATTTATGGAACTGTTTTGTGAAGACTATCTCAGGATGTTCCACCACCCCTCACCCCCTCCCCTTTCCGCCCCACACACACAGTAGGGCAGTGGAAAATATCATTCTTACTGTGGACTGTGGATAAGAGTTTGAAAAATACTAGTCTGGATAATTTTTATTAAGAAAGTCCCAAGTAATCAACAGATAAAAACACCCCCTAATACTCCCTGAAGTTTTTGAAAACCACTGAATGACTCTAAAGATCTTTAGATTCTCTCACACATACTCTGATTCTAGCCTGGTAAGTAAGCCTCTAACAAGTTGCTTCTGGTTCACCTCTCCAGCCGAAATGAACACGGATTCCTTTCCTGCATTAGACTATTCTGTCCACTGTCCTGCATATTCTCTCTTACACAGATGTTTCCTAGAACAGCTTCTTTTCTCTCCGCTTCTTGAAATCTTATCCATTATTCAAGACCAGGTTGAATTCTACCTTCTCTACAAAGCCTACTCTACTGGATTTAACCTATAGTGAGTGCATTAAATATACTCCTTAATTTGTACCTATTAGGAAATTAAGAAGGGTCTTTTTACAAAAACCAAAAGAAAAAAAACAGCTTACAAATTCCTCAAGATCTGAGACGACCTTTCACTTCTTTACAAAGCCTAGAACGTTTGATATTTGCAAATTAGCAAGACTTCAAACACTTCTTGAGACTTTTCTACAACACAGTTATCACAGTTAAGATCAGTTTTGAGATGCTAAATATGGGTTGGCCAAAAGGTTCGTTCGTTTTTTTCCGTTAAGATGGCTCCAGTAGCACTTTGCTGTCTTTAACTTTATTGAAAACAATTTTGTTAGATTGTATGTGACAGCTGTCATATCAGTGTGCATTTAAAAAAAGACTTATCAAAATTGGTGAATTTTTGTGTAGTCATTTTAATATTGAAGATGGAAGAAAAAAGGCAACATTTTCGGCATATTATGCTTTATTATTTCAAGAAAGGTAAAAATGCAACTGAAACGCAAAAAAAGATTTGTGCAGTGTATGGAGAAGATGCTGTGACTGAACATGTCAAAAATGGTTTGTGAAGTTCTGTGCTGGAGATTTCTTGCTGGACGATACTTCATGGTCGGGTAGAACAGTTGACAGCGATTGAATCAAGACATTAGTTGAGAACGATAAACGTTATATCACGTGGGAGGTAGCCAACATACTCAAAATATCCAAATCATGCCTTGAAAATCATTTGCACCAGCTTGGTTATGTTCACCGCTTTGATGTTTGGGTTCCACATAAGTTAAGGATAAAAAACCTTCTTGACCGTATTTCCACATGTGATTGTCTACTGAAACGTAATGAAAAAGTTCCGTTTTTAAAACAAATTGTGGTGGGCAATGAAAAGTGGATACTGTGCAATAATGTGGAATGGAAGAGATCATGGGGCAAGCAAAATGAACCACCACCAACCACACCAAAGGCCGGTCTTCATCCAAAGAAGGTGATGTTGTCCATATGGTGGGATTGGAAGGGAGTCCTCTATTATGAGTTCCTTCCGGAAAACCAAACAAGTAATTCCAACAAGTACTGCTCCCAGTTAGACCAAATGAAAGCAGCACTAGACGAAAAGCGTCCAGAATTAGTCAACAGAAAACGCATAATCTTCCATCAGGATAACGCAAGACCGCATGTTTCTTTGATGACCGGGCAAAAACTGTTACAGCTTGGCTGGGAAGCTCTGATTCATCCACCATATTCACCAGACATTGCACGTTCAGATTTCCATTTATTTAGGTCTTTACAAAATTCTCTTAATGGAAGAAATTTCAATTCCTGAAAGACTGTAAAAGGCACCTGGAACAGTTCTTTGCTCAAAAAGATAAGAAGTTTTGGGAAGATGGAATTATGAAGTTGCCTGAAAAACGGCAGAAGGTAGTAGAACAAAAGGGTGAATACGCTGTTCAATAAAGTTCTTGGTGAAAATGAAAAATGTGTCTTTCATTTTTACTTAAAAACTGAAGGCACTTTTTGGTCAACCCAATAAATTAGAAGTATGCTGTTAGTAAAATGTAACTGATGATTCAAAAACACCTAAAACTCACTGTATACAGTAGTTCCTCTGGAGTAACGGGACTGGTGAAGATGGTGCGCAGGCATCGGAGGCAAGCTTCAATGAACTTCAGGTCTGGGGACAGTAGTCCTATTAATAGAAAACAGATTTGAGACTCATCCTTTCAACTCATATTTAAAACTCTGCAAACTGATTCTAATTTTTACTTGTATAAAAATGACTTCTTTACATACCTTGCAGTAAGGCAGGGATAATATGGCAATCGAGTAGAGACTTAACATTGTTTTCAGTACCCATAGCAAGACTTCCCAATACCACTGCACATTCGGTTTTCAACTCTGTGCTTGAGGTTTCTTGCTGAAGCAAGTACAATAATCTAAAAAGAAAGAACTTGATAAACAGAAGAGACTAAAAAACTTAAAAGTAAACATTAGCTAAAAGTAATGTTACAGAAAAAGGCTACCAATACATCCCACACACTGAAAATATGGTTGGCGAGCTTATGGAGGGCTAGGAAATGGTCATATTTTTATATAAGCTGTTACTTTAATAATGGAATATCCAGTGGGGGTGGATCTAAAGAGATTTTCTTCATTTTGAGCAACAGAACTATCATATAATCTTAGTTTATCAGAACTGTGAATCTGAAAGTTGTCCGCAAGTGATCTCTGTGGAAACAGCAGCACCACAGTCCACGTTATCTGCCACTCCAGGATATGAAGACTCCCAAAGCCAAGTGCTGCCGGATCTTAAGGACCTTGAATACCCAATACTGCAGTTCAGAGATCACAGAGATCTAGCCTAGAGGGAATGTTCAGAGTCCTTGTGCTGCTCTCAAGCAAGGGAAGCTCTCTTCTTTCTCCAGTCCTCCTATTTGGAAGATCAGAAGATCCTATTTCTACTCCAGGCCAGCCTGACAAATAAATACTCCCCTAATACTCTAATCATCCACCACTTATGACCATCTCCTTTATGTTCTAATGTAGAACCTTCATGTTCTCTAAAGCATATTTATATATACTGAGCACTAATTCCCTAAGAAAGGCTGCTGACAGCTTTATAGTGACCAAAGGTCAATCACGTTAAAAACAATAAAACCATTAATCCTATATTAAAAGATAGAAAAGAAGAAAGAGAAAAAAACAAAACATTAAAAAATTCTGAATGAAAAACTTACAGCAATTGCACATAAAACTTAGTTCTGGGTAGCAAAGGCAAAGAGGAAGTTATACAACTGTCACTGTCTACCAAAAGGAAGCTTATTAGCTTCATCAGAAGAAATCAAACTTTCTATGTTAACTTAAAAACCAGCAAATTCGAAAAATTAGAAATTAAAAAAGCAGGGTTAAAAAACCAAGAATTTTTTTTAAACTCAAAAAAGGTTTTGCGAATCCTAATAAATTATTATCCAATCATACAAAAACTGCCAGAGTGCAAAGGAGACAGGGAAGATTCAGGCTGGTGTACACTGCTTATCTACACAACACATCCTTTTATTGCAGGGTCAATGATCTTCCTGAACCTCTAGAAAGTATTAATACATTTGTTTCATATTCCATTCCCTGGTACCTTAATTGTTTTTAAAGAGATGCTTCATATACTTCAAAGCATTTATTTAAAAAAAATAAGAACAGACAATACAGAAAAAAGATAGGTCTTATGGTTGAGAATGAGAAATACATTCAAAACTTAGTATGAATAGCAGAAAAGGGGATGACAGCAAACTTACCTCGGAACAGCTCCTAGAACAATGAGGTTGGCTTTCTGCTTGTTGTTTCCAATTACAGCATTTTTCATGTCTCTGAATTCAGGGGAAAGAGAAAAGGGTAAGGTATGTTGAGACATCACAGAAAAATAAAAGATCAATGCATCCCACTTTATCTTTATTATGCAACATCTTGGATTGGCAAGTACAGAAGTTAGGGACAAAGTGAAAACACTGACGCTTTTCCACCTGGAGTGCCAAAGAGAAGGGACAGAGATAGGTACCTTATAAACCTGGGGCTGTAAAACAGGAGAGTAGCAAGGTGGGGGGAGGGGGGAATGAGAGACATCTTGAGTATTGGCAAAAGACTTCCAATACAAAGGAAGTTGAGTTCTTCAAAAAGGCTACCAATCCTTTGAATAAAAAGAAATATAGGCCATCTTCTCACGCACAGCTCTGGGAGTAGGGAGTAAAAGCAGCCAGCCGACAGAACAGATCTGATCTTGTTTCAGGGACAATGACTTTCCTTTTTTCCTTTTCTTCTGAATTCTCTGGACTGAATATTTCTGATTCCATTTTATCTCCTTTATTGTCTTATTAGCTGTACCTCTTTGGGTTTTGTTTTGTTGTTTTTCAGTGGTTGCTTTACAATATGCATCTTTTAACTTAACACAGTCAATCTTCAAGGGATACTGTCCCATTTCATGTGTATTTTAAGAGCCTTGCAAGCATATACTTCCATCTTCCCATCCATTCTTTGAGCTGCTGTCATAGTTTTATTTTTAAATTAGTTAGAAACAACATAATATACTGTACCTTTTTTTTTTTTGGCTGTGCTGTGAGATCTGTGGGATTTTAGTTTCCCCACCAGGGGTTGAACCCATGCCCCCTGCAGTAGAAGCACAGAGTCCTAACCACTGGACCACCAGGGAATTCCCTATATTGTATTATTTTTGATTTAAAAGCCACTTATCTTTTAAGGAGATTTAAAAATAAGAAAAAATCTTTTATATTTCCCATATATTCACCAGTATTTTTTATTCTAGCTACACTCAGATCTTTATTTCACCAGGAGTAACACTCTATTCCATAAAAAGAATATCAATGACCAGTTGGTTCACAAACACATGGGTGTTCCCAGAGAAAATACAAACAGCTCAAAATAAGCCCAGTACTAATAAAATGTTTAATTAAAAAAACTTACGCTAATTGGTCAGTAGTGCTATCTTAATATAGAACATTAGAACACTGTGATTCTCAAAGTATGGAAGAAGGTATCAGAGACTCCATGGGCATTTCAGAAGTTTAAGAGGGAGTCTGGAAATTTCTGGCCATAGTTTTAAAATAGAAAGCCTTTTTTGCACAATCCTAAAGAAAATCATATTTTTCAGTACTGTACCTGCCTTGTAAATAAAAAGGAGACTATACTTTTTTTTTGAATTTTATTTTTTTGTACAGCAGGTTCTTATTAGTTATCCATTTTATACATATTAGTGTATATATGGCAATCCCAATCTCCCAATTCATCCCACCACCACCACCCCCCACTCCACTTTCCCCCCTTGATATCCATACATTTGCTTTCTGCATCTGTGTCTCAATATCTGCCCTGCAAACTGGTTCATCTGTACCATTTTCTAGTTTCCACATATACACGTTAATACACAATATTTGTTTTTCTCTTTCTGACCTACCTCACTCTGTATGATAGTCTCTAGATCCATCCACGTCTCTACAAATGACCCAATTTCGTTCCTTTTTATGGCTGAGTAATAGTCCACTGTATACATGTACCACATCTTCTTTATCCATTCATCTGATGATGGGCATTTAGGTTGCTTCTGTGTCCTGGCTATTGTAAATAGTGCTGCAATGAACATTGGGGTGCATGTGTCTTTTTGAATTATGGTTTTCTCTGGGTATATGCCCAGTAGTGGGATTGCTGGGTCATATGGTAGTTCTATTTTTACTTTTTTAAGGAACCTCCATACTGTTCTCCATAGTGGCTGTATCAATTTACATTCCCACCAACAGTGCAAGAGGGTTTCCTTTTCTCCACACCCTCTCCAGCATTTGTTGTTTGTAGATTTTCTGACGATGCCCAATCTAACTGGTGTGAGGTGATACCTCATTGTGGTTTTGATTTGCATTTCTCTAATAATTAGTGATGTTGAGCAGCTTTTCATGCGCTTCTTGGCCATCTGTATGTCTTCTCTGGAGAAATGTCTATTTAGGTCTTCTGCCCATTTTTGGATTGGGTTGTTTGTTTTTTAATATTGAGCTGCACGAGTTTATATATTTTGGAGATTAATCCTTTGTGCGCTGATTCGTTTGCAAATATTTTCTCACATTCTGAGGGTTGTCTTTTCATCTTGTTTGTAGTTTCCTTTGCTGTGCAAAAGCTTTGAAGTTTCATTAGGTCCCATTTGTTTATTTTTGTTTTTATTTCCATTACTCTAGGAGGTGGATCAAAAAAGATCTTGCTGTGATTTATGTCAAAGAATGTTCTTCCTATGTTTTCCTCTAAGAGTTTTATAGTTTCTGGCCTCACATTAAGGTCTCTAAACCGTTTTGAGTTTATTTTTGTGTATGGTGTTAGGGAGTGTTCTAATTTCATTATTTTACATGTAGCTGTCCAGTTCTCTGAGCACCACTTATTGAAGAGACTGTCTTTTCTCCATTGTATATCCTTGCCTCCTTTGTCATAGATTAGTTGACCATAGGTGCGTGGGTTTATCTCTGGGCTTTCTATCCTGTTCCATTGATCTATATTTCTGGTTTTGTGCCAGTACCATATGGTCTTGATTACTGTAGCTTTGTAGTATAGTCTGAAGTCAGGGAGTCTGATTCCTCCAGCTCCATTTTTTCCCCTCAAGACCGTTTTGGCTATTTGGGGTCTTTTGTGTCTCCATACAAATTTTAAGATTTTTTGTTCTAGTTCTGTAAAAATGCCACTGGTAATTTGATAGTGATTGCATTCAATCAGTAGATTGCTTTGGGTAGTACAGTCATTTCCACAATATTGATTCTTCCAATCCAAGAACATGGTATATCTCTCCATCTGTTTGTATCATCTTTAATTTCTTTCATCAGTGTCTTATAGTTTTCTGCATACAGGTCTTTTGTCTCCCTAGGCAGGTTTATTCCTAGGTATTTTATTCTTTTTGTTGCAATGGTAAAAGGGAGTGTTTCCTTAATTTCTCTTTCAGATTTTTCATCATCAGTGTACAGGAATGCAAGGGATTTCTGTGCATTAATTTTGTATCCTGAAAGTTTACCAAATTCATTAGCTCTAGTAGTTTTCTGGTGGCATCTTTAGGATTCTCTATGCATAGTATCATGTCATCTGGAAACAGTGACAGTTTTACTTCTTCTTTTCCAATTTGGAGTCCTTTTAATTCTTTTTCTTCTCTGATTGCCATGGCTAGGACTTCCAAAACTATGTTCAATAATAGTGGGGAGAGTGGACATCCTTGTCTTGTTCCTGGTTTTAGAGGAAATGCTTTCAGTTCTTCACCACTGAGAATGATGTTTGCTGTGGGTTTGTCCTATATGGCCTTTATTATGTTGAGGTAGGTTCCCTCTATGCCCACTTTCTGGAGAGTTTTTATCATAAATGGGTGTTGAGTTTTGTCAAAAGCTTTCTCTGCATCTATTGAGATGATCATACGGTTTTTCTTCTTCAATTTGTTAATATGGTGTACCACACTGATTGATTTGCGTATACTGAAGAATCCTTGCATCCCTGGGATATATTCCACTTGATCATGGTGTATGATCCTTTTAATGTGTTCTTGAATTCTGTTTGCAAGTATTTTGTTGAGGATTTTTGCATCTATATTCATGAGTGATATTGGTCTGTAATTTTCTTTTTTTTAATATCTTTGTCTGGTTTTGGTATCAGGGTGATGGTGGCCTCATAGAATGAGTTTGGGAGTGTTCCTTCCTCTGCAATTTTTGGGAAGAGTTTGAGAAGGATGGGTGTTAAGTGCTTCTCTAAATGTTTGATAGAATTCACCTGCGAAGCCATCTGGTCCTGGACTTTTCTTTGTTGGAAGATTTTTAATCACAGTTTCAATTTCATTACTTGTGATTGGTCTGTTCATATTTTCTATTTCTTCCTGGTTCAGTCTTAGAAGGTTATACCTTTCTAAGAATTTGTCCATTTCTTCCAGTTTGTCCATTTTACTGGCATAGAGTTGCTTGTAGTAGTCTCTCAGGATGCTTTGTATTTCTGTGGTGTCCATTGTAACTTCTCCTTTTTCGTTTCTAATTTTATTGATTTGAGTCTTCTCCCTCTTTTTCTTGATGAGTCTGGCTAATGGTTTATCAATTTTGTTTATCTTCTCAAAGAACCAGCTTTTAGTTTTACTAATCTTTGCTATTGTTGTCTTTGTTTCTATTTCATTTATTTCTGCTTTGTTCTTTATGATTTCTTTTCTTCTACTAACTTTGGGTTTTGTTTATTCTTCTTTCTCTAGTTCTTTTAGGTGTAAGGTTAGATTGTTTATTTGAGATGTTTGTTGTTTCTTGAGGTAGGATTGTATAGCTATAAACTTCCTTCTTAGAACTGCTCTTGCTGCATCCCATAGGTTTTGGATTGTCGTGTTTTTATTGTCATTTGTCTCTGGGTATTTTTTGATTTCTTCAGTGATCTCTTGGTTATTTAGTAACATATTGTTTAGCCTCCATGTGTTTTTGTTTTTGATGGTTTTTTCCCTGTAACTGATTTCTAATCTCATAGCATTGTGGTCAGAAAAGATGCTTGATATGATTTCAATTTTCTTAAATTTACTGAGGCTTAATTTGTGACCCAAGGTGTGATCTATCCGGGAGAATGTTCCGTGCGCACTTGAGAATAAAGTGTAATCTGCTGTTTTTGGATGGAATCTCCTATAAATATCAAATAACTCTATCTGGTCTATTGTGTCATTTAAAGCTTCTGTTTCCTTATTTATTTTCATTTTGGATGACCTGTCCATTGGTGTAAGTGAGGTGTTAAAGTCCCCCACTATTACTGTGTTACTGTCGATTTCCTCTTTTATAGCTGCTAGCAGTTGCCTTATGTATTGAGGTGCTCCTATGTTGGGTGCATA